AAGTTTAAAGTTTGAAATTAAAAAATCAGTTTCCTCAGGAGTATTCCATATTTCTCTTTTCTAACTATTGAAAAAGCATTTATTCATTCAACATTCTACAGTAAGAAGTATTTGATGTGGGTGTGTATGGGAGACTATATGCTTTATATAATTCTACATGCAAAAGAGAGTACCAAATATACACACACCTGATTTTAAAGTAGTTGTTTAGATAATTCAGAATATTCTTATAGTGATATTTTTTTAGATTATAATCCAAATGAAGACTCAGCACTTAAAAAGAGAATTCTGACTCCCTTAAAACAAGAGTGCAAATCATTCTCCGTGGGCCAAAATTAACCTATCACTTACTTTTGTAAATACATTAGTCCCCACCCTTTATCCAAGGCTTTAATTTCCATAGTTTGTTACCAATAGTCAAATGCAGTCCAAAAATATTAAATAGAAAATTCCAAAAATGAACATTTCATAAGTTTTATATCATGCGCTGTGCTGCTCCGAGTAGTGTGATAAAACCTTGTGACATCCAGCCCCATCCCACCTGAGTACCCACAGTATACATGCTACCCGTTAGTCATTGATTGACTGTTGTGGTAGTGCAGTGTTTGTGTTAATATTTTACTTAGTAGCGGCTTAAAAACACAAGAGTTGTCATGCTTGGCAATTTGGATGTGCCAAAGAGAAGACTTTGTAAAGTTCTTCCTCCAAGTGGAAGTTCTCGACTTAGTAAGGAAAGAAAAGAAATCATATGCTGAGGTTACTAAGATCTATGGTAAAAATGAATCTTCTTTTTTTTTTCTCCCTTCAAATATAATATAAAATTTAATTTAGAATGTTGTAATTTCTAAAAAAAAGTAAGTATTCAGTTTGAATCTCAGAAACTTCAAGAATACTAATTTTTATGGTTTTCTTATGTTCTTGAAATCTTAGCAAAAGTTAAGCCACCCCCACCTCAAAATGAATTGTGAAGGAAATAGAAATTTGTACTAGTTTTGCTGTCACCCCTCAAACTACAAAAGTTATGGCCACAGTGCATAAGTGCTTACTTAATTAAGATAGAAAAGGTATTAAATTAGTGGGTGGAAGACAAGAGCAGGAAATGTGTTCTGACTGACTGCAATGCATTGCTCCAGAAAGCATTGACCCTACGGGAAGACTTCAGCAAGGGATCCCGTGAAACAAGTGACACCAAGCCATTTACTACAGGAATGGTTATGTAGATTTCAGGAATACGTTTGGAGTGAAAAATCTAAAAATTACTGGGGAGAGAAAGAGAGAGGCCCCACATTCACATGCTTTTTATTCCAGTATATTGTTATAATTGTTTTATTTTATTAGTTATTGTTGTTAACCTCTTATATGCATAATTTATAAGTTAAACTTTATTATAGATATGTATAGGTAAAAACATTGTATTTAGGGTTCAGTACTAGCTGAGGTTTCAGGCATCCCTGTGGGTCTTGGAATATATCCCCCACAGATAAAAGGGGCCTATTGTACTTTTAACACCTCTCTTCTTTGTTAGCACCCTTCAATTTTGCATATTCATTTCTAGAATGTGCTACTTCTGCTTCTAGAGTTCTCATTTATAATACACATTATCCATTAATTTCATGCATATCAACCCAGCCTGAAGCTTGGTTACCCTTTCCAATTATCTACCAGAGATGTTTCTTCAGCCCAGAGAAATTTTCTTTTCTGTTTTTTTAAAGATTTTATTTATTTATTTTTAGAGAGAAGGAAAGGGAGGGAGAAAGAGAGGGAGAGAAACATTGATGTGAGAGAGAAACATCAATCGGTTGCCTCTTGCACATGCCCTGACTGGGGACCGAACCCTCAACCTAGCTATGTGCCCTGACCAGGAATCAAACAGAGTGATGCCCAACCAGATCAGCTGCACACACTGGTCAGAGCGAGAAATTTTCTTTTATTATTTACTTAGTTGTTGCCTGTCCTTCATATAACATCTCACATATTAGTTTTCAAGGTCTATCCTTCAAGTCTTTATTTTCCTTCAAAGTGTGCTTTGAGAGAATCCTTGCGCTTCATCCTCCAGTCTACTTATTAGATGTCAATAATGATCATTATTTTCTTTAAAAAAATTATCTACTCTTTTTAGTTTGATAATTATGACCTTGAGCTTTAGGTGTGTATGTGTGTGTGTGTTGTATTAGAATTTACTTCAGTGGTCAAACAGTTTTTGTCCACGTGCTTTTCTTCTCTGGCACTTTTCTTTCACGAGATATGTGTTCTGATTATTCACTGTTATTTTGCTCTTTCAAATGTTTGAGCCTTTCACATGGTCGGTTATTTTTCTATGATGGCTCATTGGAAATCAGGTACAGTTGCTGAACTATCCTTAACAGCAAGAGTTTTGTAAGTTGGAATGTGAATAGTGCCTAAAGTGTAAGGAGAATCAGCCCACTAGAAACACGTGAAGGAAGCCTAATACTCTCTAACCTACTTGAACTCTCCTAGCTTCCAAAGTAGGAAGACCCACCTACCTCAATTAGGAAAATCCAGCATATTCAGAGGGATTGAAGGTTATCTTCACGGGGGTCTTCAGATACCTGAAAGCCAATCTGTTCCAGTGATCCACAGCCCTCAGTTTCTGCCTAGAGCTGTCATGCTGCTTTTCAGTTTGTTAGCCACTCACAGGGCAATTTAGCTGCATACCAGTTGGCTCTTATGTTACCCTACTGTAAGCATTATCCAGCAGATTGCAGGTGTCAACAGATGCTTGATTTTAAAAAGTTAAGGAACATGGATTTGAACATAGATTGGGGCAAGCCACAGTCAAGTTGTCATGTTTCAGAATATCCTGTACCCTCACTTATTACAATTCTGGAGACTCTCAAATTTATTGTATCTCTAGGTCTACCATTCCCCTGACTCATATATACTACTTAACCATTCACCTTGGATATATGATCAATATCGCATAGCTTAATGTCCAAACTGAACTTTTGGTTGCTGTCCCAAACCTATTTCTCTCCCAGCCTTTCCTATCTTAATTAATGGCATCATCACCATTTATCAGTTAATTGCTCAAACCAAAATCTGCAGATTCATTCTTGATTTCTTTCTGTTATTTTTACATTCACATCCTAATTGATCATCAAATCCTATTGGCTGTACTTTTAAAAGTACCTGAACTGACCACTTCTCACCACCTCCACCTATACTACTCATCACACATTTTTGTTTCTCTCCTGGTCTCTCCGGACTGCTATCTGCTTCTGCTCTTGCCCTTTGCAGTTTACTCTCTATAAGCCAGAGTAATCTTTTTAAAAGGTGAAATATTGCTTTTTTCCAGAGGATGCAAAGAAAATCCAAATTCTGTGCCATTGCTTATAAGGTTCTCCATAGTCAGTAGTCTAGCTGCCTTCCACCACCACCACCACCACCACCACCACCACCATCATCATCATCATCATCATCATCACCATTTCTTTGTTTCACTGCATTTCACGTTAACTTTCTTGTCGTTTTTAAACTATAACTATCTTATCTCAGGATCCTTGGACTTGCTGATCGCTTTGTTGAGAATACCCTTTCTCCAGGTTTTCTTATAATTCCATTTCTCATTATTTTTATGTCTTGCTCAAATCTTTCCAAATCGCCTTATAAAGAATGTTCCTGACCATGCTATAGATTCTCCTCTACATTCCCTATTCTAGTCTTCCCTGATTTAGTTCTTTTTTTTTTATAGAACTTACCACCATGGGAATCATGTGCTTGTTTATTGTCTTATTCTAGTCACCCTCTATGAGAGAAAGACTTTTTAACTCACTGCTACATTCCTAAAACTTAGAACAGTGACAGGCATATAGTAGGCAATAAATAACATATACTTCAAATAACATCTTTATTAGATTAGAGTTGGGTTTTAAAATGGAAAAGTAGGTAAACACATGAATTTTGCTGAAAATAAATCATGTTTCTCAGAGTATTGCTTTTTTATTTCTACTTTTTAGGCTTGTTTGAAAAGAATGAAGTAAATTTTTTACTCTTGCATGTGATTTAAATTTCAGTTAAAGTATTTGCATTCTATTTTCCTTTAGAAATACTTATTAGGTAGCCTGATGTCTTTTTTCTTTTTAAGAACAAAGTTCCATTTTAACTGTAACTTATTCCTTGATAATATATTTATTACCAAATTCTTAATTTGTGTTCTATGTTAAAAGAAAACTATATAATGTTAAGACCATTGGGGGAAAAAAGGAAGAAAAAGTAGAAATAGAGACTTCATTGTTTTCAGACTTTTATAACTTTTCAATATTTTCTGGGTTGCCTGGAAATCCCTTCTGTTAAGAGGTTAGTTTTTCGCAGTAGTGTACTCACTACCTCTAAGGGACCACTCATGATCCTGACCATATCTGTTATTCTTTCTTTTTGCTCCTTGCTTTTTCATTTACTTAGGACCTCAGTTTATGCCCCTAACATCAATTTTTAGTGAATAGAATTTACTCCTATAGCTAATAAGGAAGGATAGAGAAAATTTAGCACAATGATAGTAGAACCCAAAATTCAGCTTAAAAATAGGTTTAGCATGTATAATATAGCATATGTAATTATATGTATAACATACTGATGTGTAGTTGACATTTATTTTGCACTTTAATAGAGCATTCTTCTAAATTCTGGGGAAGACCAATTTTAAGGTTTAATGGTAAGGAGGGAAGTCATTGGTACAGTCACTTGCCATTTTGCTCATATTTTTGAAGGGTCATTTTAGATATCTCTGCGGGTTGGCAGTGGGGAACAGCAAATCCAAAGCTCTCACTCCCACAGAGCCATCTGCCATTGGCAGCTGAGGAGTCTTATAAAATCAGCATTGGCCCATGTTCTTGTGCACACTTAAAAACACCTCTCTCTGGCTTCGTACTTTAACATTTGTAAACTATTTTGTGGGAAACAACTTAATCAGAACTTTTAAAATGCTTGATTTTTAATAATTAAGAGATTAATTTGATTTTATTTTTCTTTTTTTAAGGTGCATGGTGGCTGATGAAGTGTTTTATTATTTTTATGTCATTTATTTTTAGTGTCTACTATTTATCATGTACTTTCTGTCTTTCCATATGACTATATTTCTATATATGGAAAGAAGGAGGGGGGAAGATGGGAAGTGGTGTAGAAAGAATAAGAATGAGAATAAATGTTTGTGTGTGTGCACGTGCAGGTGTATGCAAGGTATGTACTTGGAACATGTTATTAATATTAGTGATACAAAGTTCTATATTGTTGGCCTGGTAAACATGAATATGCTTTGAAATGTACCCCAAATGAAATTGAATTCTTTTCTACTTGTCATAATACTTGTTGCTTACAAGCTAAATTTTTAAGAATTTGCTCTAAAGGTTAATTGTTTCCTATAAAACTTAATGTTTAAATGGAATTCTATTACCATTAAACAATTAGATACATTTCAGTGGCATGTACTTGTACATTCATGTTTTCTCACTGAAATTGAAATTCTTGTTATATAAACAAGGATAAACTTTACATGCATTCTCACAGTAATGTAAATCAACAAAGTTCCAATTTTAACATCGGTTTGAGAAATGTGCTTTTGTTTTCATGATACCTTTAAATCATATAATAACAAAACATATACCCTTAAAGCTATATTTAAAAAAAGAAAATAAACACTGAATTAAAAAAAAAGTGGAACCATAAAAGATTCTGTCAATGAACTGTCTTTCTGTTTTGGTTACATATAGACCGACAAATGGTTTATATTCATAGTTTCTTCTAAGGAAAAAGATGAATAAGAGTATAGCATGAATATGATGGCTATGCAAAAGGTTGATATAGGTTCATGCTTGATTCATGCTGATATTTAACTACGTAAGTTTTTAGTTTGAACCCTTATTATATTTGTATAGGCATTTATTTACACTAGATGTTATAGTTAGAAACGTAGTCATCGCCTGTGAAGGACTTCAACAATATTATTGAAGAGATAGGATATAGACACATGGGAAACAACCCAAATTTCTATTTTGGAATAGGATGAACTCCAAAAAGCTCTTAATAAATTAACAAATTTGAGAGCCCAAAATGACTGAAAGAGGTGTATATTTTACTCCCTGAATATGTTTGTACCAAATATGAATGTAAACTCAGCACAGAAAATGTCAAAATTAGCCCTGTCTGATGTGGCTCAGTGGGTTGAGTGCCAGCCTGTGAACTGAGAGGTCCCTAGTTTGATTCCCAGTGAGGGTACATGCCTGGGCTGTGGGCCACATCCCCAGTTGGGGACGTGTGAGAAGCAACTAAATCTCTTGCACATTGATGTTTCCCTCCCTCTCTTTTTCCCTCCCTTCCCCTTTCTCTAAAAGTAAATAAATAAAATCTTTTTAAAAAAAATCTCAAAATTAGGTATAATCATTTTATATAACATCTATAAAATATATGTGTGTGATATTTGTATGGATGTGTATATAAATAAATTTTGTAAGCAGACCAGTTTTATATTTACAGAAAATATATTTTAAAATGTAACACCATCTTAATCATCTTCACAAGCAATTCATGGGGAATGTCCTAGCAGCTATGGCTTATCATTGCTACCTTGTTCTTCATTGCGATGTCTTAGAAATTTGAATAGACCTCAAATCTATGAAATCATTCATGGATTGAAATAAACACTTAAGCAGCACCTTAACTGTTCTATTTTCCAACAAACTCCTATCTTCTCTTCAGTTAACATTAGACTAAGGATTATAGAGAATTCATGATGAACCCTTACCTCGCTAGAGTTTTTCATTGTACCAATTGCTTTTCCTTGTCCCCTGTTATTTACAGTGAAATAGCACTTGTCACATGTTGAGTGATTTGTGATCTTCCTTCAAAGCCATTCTTATTTTTTAATAAATTTAAAAGAACCATTTACTATTTCCTCAGTACTTAAAAAACAATTCACCACTTTTGTGTCCATCATAGTTCTCTTCTTTCACCAGCATTTTAAAGACTCTCGTTCGTCTACACCTGTCTGACTTTACAGGGCTTATTATATCAGATTCTGTTAATAAGTTAATTAAGAAAAAAATCCCCTATTTTATGAATGAGTACAAAAACAGGCTACAAAAATAAACAGTATGGGAGATGCAAGGTGAGGAGTAAGTAGAAGCTACACTAACCTCCTCCCAGGACCAATATGGAATTACAGCTAAATGATAGAGAAATCTTCCTGAATAACCAACTTAAAACTAGCTGGACAGGAACCTTATAACCAAGATCAGACGGAAGAAACCACTTTATAATGACATGGCCGGTAGGGAGTGTGGAGGAGGCATGAGATGGCTGGCTGGACTCCCACAGGTAGCAACTGAAGTTCTGGAGAGATATTTCAGTGGCCGGGGCAAGGTAGCGGGGTGGTCCCCTAAGAAGGATGTGCTCTAAAACCCAAGCTGGGATCCCCAGCCTGCAGCACCAGATAACATCCAGCTGTGAAAAGCAATACACGTTCAGTCTGCTAGGATGAGATGTCTGGAGATGCAAAGAGCCCATTAAAGGGCCAACAAACAAAATTTCATTTGCAGCCACTTACCCTGGTCTCCAGCAGAAGGAGAGCCCAGTGGACTAGAGACAAATTAGGATAGTCTGAGGTTCGTAGCTCTGCGGAGAGAGCTGAGGGAACAGCTGCCAGGATCCCTGTGCTGAGTAACTATCTTTCTCAGGCAGGGCACTCTTCTCCAAGTGGCATCAGCCTGAAAGGAAGCCGCGCCCACAGGAATTACTCTGCCTTGCTCTGTGGTGCTTAAACGTGGCTGCTGATTACAGCTTAAGTCTATTTTTCTGATTAGTTTATCAACTAAGGTGGCAAAATCAAACCAGCAGCCAAAATGGGAAGACAAAGAAACAGACCCTAAATGAAAGAACAAGAAAATTCTCCAGAAGAAACTAGATGAAATGGAGGCAAGCAATTTATCAGAGAGTTTAGAGTAGTGATTTTAAGGATACTCAACAGCATGAAAAAAGACATAGAAACTATAAAAAAGGACAAGTCGGAAATAAAGAATACAATATTGGAAATAAATAATACACTGGAGGGAATAAACAGTAAGTTAGATGAAGCAGAGGATAGAATCAGTGTTTTGGAAAACAAGTTTGAAAAAAACATGGAGGCAGAGCAGCAAAAAGAAAAATAAATTTTAAAAAATGAGACTTCCGGCCAAGACAGAGGTGTAGGTAGATACACTTGACCTCCACATACAATGAAAAGAAGGACAACAACAAATTTAAAATAAAAATTTAGCCAGAACTGCCAGAAAATCAAAATGTATGGAACTCCAACAACCACGGAGTTAAAAAAGAAACAGTCACCCGGACCAGTAGGAGGGGCAGAGATGGGCAGTGGGGATGGAGAGGATGTGTGGCAAATCTGCAGCTGGAGGATCAGGCAGGTGAGGCAGCAGCTGGTGGACGAGGTGGTCCTACATTTGCGTGCAGATAAACTGGAGGAACAGCTGGGGAGTGAGACATACCGCGAAAATCAAGGGTTCCAGTGCTGGAAAACAAAGCCTCAAAACCTCTGGAAGTAACCTGTAGGCATTTCAGTGGTAGGAGAAACTCACAGCCTCACAGGAGAGTCCGTTGGAGAGACCCATGGGGTCCTAGAATGTACACAAACCCACCCACCTGGGAATCAGCACTAGCAGAACCCAATTTGCTTGTGGGTTCTGGGGGAAGTGACTGAAAGCCAGACAAGAGCCAAGCAAACCTCTCCCCCTCAAACCTCTCCATCACACACAGTGTAACAACTCAGTGACCTAGGTTGCCCCACCCTGGCAAATACCTAAGGCTGTGCCCCTTCCAACATAAAAGGTGCACTGAAACAAAGAAATATGGCCCAAATGAAAGAACAGATCAAAGCTCCAAAAACAGAACTAAGCAATGAAGAGATAGCCAACCTATCAGATGCACAGTTCAAAACACTGGTAATCTGGATGCTCACTGAATTGGTTGAGTTTGGTCACAAAATGGAGGAAAAAGCAAAGGCTATACAAAGTGAAATAAAGAAAAATATACAGGGAACCATCAGTAAGGGGAAGGAAACCAGGACGCAAATCAATGATTGAGAGCAGAAGGAAGAGATAAACATTCAACCAGAAATAAATGAAGAAACAAGAATTTATAGAAGTGAGGAGAGGATTAGGAACCTCTGGGACAACCTTTAACAATCTAACATCCAAATCATAGGGGTGCCAGAAGGAGAAGAGGAAGATCAAGAAATTGAAAACTTATTTGAAAAAGTAATGAAGGAGAACTTCCCCAATCTGGCCAAGGAAACAGACTTCCAGAAAGTCCAGGAATCTCAGAGAGTCCCAAAAAAGTTGGACCCAACGAAGCACAACATCATGATTTAGTTACCCAAGATTAAAGATTAGGAGAGAAACCTAAAAGCAGCAAGAGAAAAGGAGACAGTTACTTACAAAGGAGTTCCCATAAGATTCTCAGCTGATTTCTCCAAAGAAACCTTGCAGGCAAGAAGGGGCTAGCAACAAGCATTCAAAGTCATGAAAAGCAAGGACCTACATCCAAGAGTACTCTATCCAGCAAAGCTATCATTTAGAATGGAAGGGCAGATAAAGTGCTTCCCAGATAAGGTCAAGTTAAAGGAGTTCATCATCACCAAGCATTATTATATGAAATGTTAAAGGGACTTATCTAAGAAAAAGAAGATCAAAAACTAAGAAGGGTAAAACAGGGAAGGGGGAGGGGGGAAAATGTGGTAAAGGTACAGGGAATAAGCATAAACTATAGGTACAAAATAGACAAGGGGAGGTTAAGAATACTATAGGGAAATGGAGAAGACAAAGAACTTATAGGTACAACCCATGGACATAAACTAAGGATGGGGGGAATAAAGGGGATAAAAAAATGGGACAACTGTAATAGTATAATTAATAAAATATATATTAAAAAATAAAAAAATAATAAAAAATGCAGAGCTTAAGAAACATTTTGGACATGAAGCATAACAACATCCACATCATGGGAACAC